TCACATAAAGACATCGAATGGCTTCAGAAGACTTGGAATGCAACACGACTTGCTTATACTGCTTGTTTATGGTCAGTTTTTGCAATAAATAACGTTATCTGTGACTGCACTCATATTTGCCTGTTACATGTTTTATACTGTTCAGAAGTGGGTAGGTTTAGGATAGGGGTGGGGTTAGGTGCTCCAATTAAAGTATAAATTTATATAAAATTATTTCAGTTTTTACAAATGCATGCAAACCATTAAATTAAGACAAACAACTGAAAACAACAGAGGACCCTGCACGTTGAATAATTACACCAAAGTGGTACCTTGAGCGTCAAAAAGTGACGCCAAGTGGTCCTGACCAAGCGTCAATATGTGACGAGTTGGGAGTGAGAACGTGTTGCATATAGTTACTTTTTTCCCCCACAGTAAAATGGAATACGGTATTATAGTGTAATATAGCTAGACCCTTGAACATTTTAGAGCCCTCTACTTAGTTGTCTTGGAGGACTTTGCAATTGTGAGGCAAGATTAAAGTCGGCACCAGAAAGACACAGGCTATTTGCACAGATGTATAGCCACCCATTAGAGCTCAGGAATTACATAACACCACACTCTTCACACAGTTAGACCTGACTGAGTTGCAATAATGCTTTTGTCTGGGCCGCCCAATCAAGGCAGACTATAGCTTAACAGAAGGCCCTGAAGAACAGGATCATATAGGGTGTGTGTGTGTACATTTTGTTCTTGAAGGCATGTGCCAGCACATGAGAGACAGAACTACATTGCACACTCTCTCTTCACAGGCTGCTCTTGGCAGTGCTTCTAATGGTTTTGGTCTTCCTGGTGGAAAGTGGCAGCCCATGCAGGAGGGGGTCTAGGAGAGGAAGTGGAGGTCAGAGGCAGGGAGTGGAGGAGGAGGGGGGGAGTCAGGGCAGAGTCTGGGCATCCTGCCTGGAACCTGTGTTTGTTTCTAGCAGCTGCCCATTTAGAACAAGTCCTACACTGTTTAAAGCTCAAGTATGTAATGTTAAAATACATTCTCCTATCTGAACTTAATATGCAGAGATGACTATAAAAAAATCAATGAAATTTACTGTAAAAAAACAGCAGCTATAGCTGCTAGAAAGTCACCTTTAAAATAAGGTAGCAACATTTTAGCTTTTACAGAATTAATTTACAGTTTAAAAACAAAATGAAAATATATACTATATTTAATTTACTGCCATAATGTTAATATACCAAGCTGCTGAAGAACTAAAATCACAAGGGATAACGAAAAGGCCACATGTAGTACAATCAAAGGTAATCCCAAGTGCTGTAGCTTTTCCAAAAGCTCAGGTAAATAATACATAGAAGATGCACAGTGTCATGCACACAAATACAAAACCACCATCATGGTACCACATATGACACTAAATTAATAAAATAAACATTGATTTAACAACTTAGGTTGTAACATAAAGCCCTAATGTACATAACTGATAAGAAAAAAAAACTAAGAAGAAACGGTTATTTCAGGAAAAAAAACATCAAAAGTGAAGGGTCAAAAGGAACTATAAATTTAACAGCGATTTACTGTAATTTTTACTGAACTTCCCATTAACTTTTTTTTTTTTTTTTTGCAGTGTTAACAGCGATTTTCTGTTATTTTTACTGAACTTGCCATTAACTTTTTTTTTTTTTTTTGCAGTGGATGTTAGCTATTTGTTGACTCCTGTGGACACACTCAAATAATTAAGTGAGTTTTGGGGTGGGAATACCCATTTAGTTCAACCAATTGTAAACTAGGGGTATTTTGGTAGACCTGTTTAAAACCCATCATTATTTTTACCACTCTTTTTGGCTAGCTCAAAAATGATACACTTCACTGTTAAAGGGTTAGTTCACACAAAAATGAAAATTCTGTCATTAATTACTCACCCTCATGTCGTTCCAAACCCGTAAGACCTTCATTCATCTTCTGAACACAAATTAAGATATTTTTGATGAAATCTGAGAGCTCTCTGACCCTCCGTAGACAGCAATGCAACTGCAATGTTCCCAGGTCCAGAAACGTAGCAAGGACATCGGTAAAACAGTCCATGTGACATCAGTGGTTAAACCGTAATTTTACAAAGCTACGAGAATACTTTTTGTGCACAAAGAAAACAATAAAAACATAATTTACTCAATTATTTTCCCCAAGTTACTGTCTTCCACCATTTTGGAGAGTACCCCAGAACGTACAGTAATCAATGTAATCAGCGTTGTTTACGCTCAGCATGTGTGCGCTTTCTACTGAACGTAAACAATGCTGATTACGTTGAATACATTCTGGGGTACTCTCCAAAATGGTGGAAGACGATAACTCGAAAAGTAACAAAAAGTATTCTCGTAGCTTCGTAAAATTACGGTTTAACCACTGATGTCACATGGACTATTTTACCGATGTCCTTGCTTTCTGGACCTGGGAACATTGCAGTTGCATTGCTGTCTACGGAGGGTCAGAGAGCTCTCAGATTTTATCAAAAATATCTTAATTTGTGTTCCGAAGATGAACGAAGGTCTTACAGGTTTGGAACGACATGAGGGTGAGTAATTAATAACAGAATATATTTTTTGGTGAACTTACCCTTTAAGAAAAAGTACACACGTGTGCAATTGATCAAAATCGGCATATTAGAGTGGCAATACAGCTGTCCTCACAACAAATAAAGTGTACTAAGACATTGCAAATCATCTTGAAGTAAAATGAAAAATGTATTTTCAGAATAGGCATTACAAATCAAGTGTTCTGGCATTCTCTGTAAGTGATAGTTCAAAATAAAAGTGACCTGACCCTTAAACTTTATTTATTTGTTTATTTATTTATTTTATTGTTTTAAAGTATCCCAATATAGTAAGAATAATTCAGATATATTACATTTGTCTGGAGTCAAACCACTTCATTTAGATGTTGGGACATTTTTTGACCCATCTCTGAGTACATTGCACAACTAAACCAACAGGAGACATAATTACTGTGAAATGAAGCAAGAATTAGGTTTCAGGTCAGTCCAGTGCCTGTCAGTACCACAGTGAAGCACTAAAACAGTTATTGTCATGAGAAAACAGTTGTGCATAACATAATTTTTCTGTAATATATTGTAAGTCCATTTTGGGTCCCTCTTTCCTTACAAACACCAAAGAAAACAAGTGCATTGCGTACTATCTACTGTATATTCACAAAAACATTCCCTGCTGTCTCTCTGGCTCCAAAACAAAGCAACTGAACAAAGGACATCCAACTTGCATGCATGGCCTCTAGTGTCTCAAATTACAGCATGTTCAGATGTTCACATTAAAGCACTCAAAGCAGGTGCAGAAGGTGTATGTGTGTGTGTGTGTGTGTATATGCTAGAAAGAGAAAGTAAAAGATACTGTAACCTGAACGCTAATGACTGTAGATTTGGTTGTACTTTGCATGCCTCTAAAGCAACAGTTAGAGCAACAGACACCAGTGCTGTGGCTGTTTGACTGAGATTGAAATGTTGTGGTTATGTTGGTTGGAACTGAAACTAATGTGCCTGGCAGATACTTCAGTGTTGCCACCTGCTCATCTCCGATTAGACACAGTTGTCACTATGAACATGCTAAATATATGATCCTGGTACTTTAGAGATACTGGCTGCTGTGTGTTTTTCTTCATAGGGCACATTTTGAAGATGAATATGCTTTGAAGAGTTTTAAGGGCCATATTAATAGGTTTTTACATTTAAACAGTTCTGACAATGAAGAAATATGCTTTTAAAATGCTGTCAAAGAGTAAAGTGATTAATAAAAACATTAGTGATTCAATAAAAAAATCGTCTGATATTAAATGTAAAAATATCTTTTAAATTCTTGTTAAAATGTTTTGGTAAGCACAGCTGAACTGAGAAATTCACACATGCAAACTGTGTCATCGGCAGTATCCTCAGAATACAGGTCACTTAGGATATTAATGAATGAATGATGTACTGTAGAAAAGTCTGAATGGAGTTTATTGATTTGTTTTTGCAGGGATTGTGTTTAATGTGTCTAATGGGGCCATTAGTTCAATGGCAGCTATTCTCCCATTTCAATAAAGTCTAGGTAATCCCTCACTTCACAGCTTCTATAATGTGTATTCCTCTAAAAATAACCTGTATCCCACCTCAGTAGCAATATTGTGAAACACTTTTGCAATACAACAAAAAAAAGTACACTGTAATAAAACAATTAAAGACACCTAATGGGACCCATTACTGTACACAAACATTGTGATGTTCAGTATTTATGCCTGAATTTAGTTTGAAAATTACCATGTCACTGATTTTTAAAAAATTGTCTTTATATCAGAGTGTTCATATTACAACATAATTACAAATGTTAGTACTTTGCAATTACTATTTTGCATTATAATGTTACATTATTAAAGAACTATGTTTAACACAGACAGGTGCCCCCCAAAACTATTTGGACACTTACACCACAAAATACATGAATGCAATTCTATTAAATAGTCTAAATATCAACCCATTTATTTTAGAGAAAGATAGTACTAGTTTACTTCTCACACCAGTGAAATGTAAATAAAGTTTGTTAATACAACTGATATACTGAATAAAATGTATTTGGACAGACACTTTGTGGTAGTAAACGTGGAACATATTCATAGTTTATATGAGGAACTTCACCTGAGGTAACCTGTAAGAAAACTTAAGAAGTGATCTTCTTAAAATCCCCTTGACATTAGTCGGTTAAAAGTGCTTACAATCTCCGAAAGGTCAATTTATTTCTCGAATCATTTGTTTTCATGTGGCACTTGGTTTCCATTTTTGTTAGATTATTTATACGCGTCAATATCAATGTAATACTACAAGTGAGCTAAATTTAAAGGATTATATTTGTTGTTGGTGCATATTTAAGTAGTGATTAACACAAATGAACTTGCATGTTAATAATTCGTGGAGCACCTTACTGCATTACTGTTGTAATTAATGACCTGTCCTCATCCCAGTGCATAAGGTTACCTGGATCTCTGCAGTTCCAGGGCAGAGTTGGCTATCTGCCCTCCCTCCAGACAGCAGTAGTTCTGGCTGGACTGCCTGGAGTAGGACACAGGCAGGATTCCCTGAGTGTACGTCTGAAGTCTCCCTCTCGTAGCCGGCGGAACTGCTGAAAAGGGGGAGCTGAACACGGACTGGAGCACCTGAGAGCCGCACACATCACCCTCCGCATCCGCTCCGTACGCTGGAGGAGGAGCAGCAGCAGCAGCCGCGGTGGCGTTGGCGGCCGCGCTGGGACCCGTGATACCAGCCAAGAAACCAGCAGCTCGGGCACTGCTGAGAGCCTGGTTCGCTGCTGCGGCCAATGCCTGCTGGCCCACTGCAGAAACCAGGCTTTGTCTAGTCCTGGAGCTGTCCTCGTCCTCGGTCTGATTCTCCCCGTCATCCTGCACGGGTCGTCCGTCCAGAGAGATGTTGCTGAGGAATGAGAGTGCAGCTTGTCTCCGTCGTGGATCTATTACGCGCTTCCGTGTGTGCTCCAGACTGGAGGGCTTCATCTGCAGCGCGCTCGCCATTAGCCGTGGGATAGTGCGTGTTTGTCAACGGAGAGGGTTCATAGTGATTGTTTGGATATAGGGTGAAATTGGTGGTCAAAGCGCCATGCGTTGGCTTTTAAGTGCCTGCTGTGTTTTACTGTGTGTGTGTGTACAGAAAAGCTGGGTCACGTGTGTGCAGTATTGTGGCAGCAGGAGCTTTAGTCTGACCAATGGGGATTCATGAGAACAAGACGGTGTGCCAAAACATAGCGAGTCGCCTAACTAGACAGCATTCGTAGCGCTTTTTGAATTGACTTCAAAATTCTAGACAGCATATTCGAGAGCGGTTTAGTTCATTTAGCTGAACGGATTCTTAGCACGCCCTCGGTGCTAAAAATGCTGTCTACTTTAGGCGGCTCAGTACGTTTTGAAACACAGCCTGCGTGTTTTTCTCCTTGCCTTCATGTTTGTTCCGCCCTTCTGGGCTACTTGGAAAGGACATTCAAAATTACATAAAAGTAAACATTTTAGGTACGAACAGTCCGAGGTAGCACGAGATCTTGATGCCCTTTTAGATATCGTTATTGTGCGTTCAAATAACATTTCAATTCACCTCAAACAACTGGAAATAGACCTTCTTAAGACTTTTAAACATTTAATATGTATTGATATTTACTTGGGTAATTTGACATAACTGCGTACCCTTGCAAGGGTAAAAGCAGCTTTAATGTACTGACACGCATTCATGGTAAACGAAAATATAGGTACTTTTCTGCCATTTCTATTGAAATGTGTATGTCATTGTCATGTATTTGTAATTACAAAAGTGCACTTAACTGTGTTAGGAAATATAGTCATGAAGTACACTACAAATGGGAAGCTTGCAGACCACCTTGGTTTGGCAACCATGTTCCAAAACATATTTAATATTTAAAATTGGATTGTCCATCTGGGTGGCCTATGATGATTTAATAACTGAACGTCACACACATGAATATAAAAAGACTGTGTGAGTGTTATGGATTCCTCTTTTACCCAGCTAAGCTGAAATGACGAAACTCCACATGATGGCACAATTTATTACAAGAACAAACGTTCACTGACTGTAACTTCCTAGTTGCCCTAAAAGACTGGCTGTTTTTTTAAAACAGTCTGTTTAATAGCAGTTATTTTCAACATCGCAACGCCATCTAGTGGTTAATCAAGTTATATGCAATATGCCTAGAAGTTATGTGGCGATTAAAAAATGAGTTCTTCAAGGTGTTCACTAGATGGCGCCAGAGTTTAGCCTAAACCAGGGGTGTCCAAACTCGGTCCTGGAGGGCCTGTGTCCTGAAGAGTTTAGCTCCAAGCCCAATTAAACACACCTGAACCAGCTAATCAAGCTCTTACTAGGCATACTAGAAACTTAAAGGCAGGTGTGTTGAGGCAAGTTGGAGCTAAACTCTGCAGGACACCGGCCCTCCAGGACCGAGTTTGGGCACCCCTGGCCTAAACGTTCAAATTATACAGTATATACTATATTTTTTACCCAGATAATGGTGTGAGTGAGATAGAATTCAGTGATGAAATGAATGAGGGAGGTGATATAAACCAGTGCTGAAATATTTGAGATTCAAGTTAATTTGCCGTTTGTAACAGATACTCAGGAATCATTTCATAAAGAGGCGTTTATGAAGGAAATTAAGTGAACAGACTGTGGTGCAACTTGGGAATATTGCGGTTTTTATATCATGTACACAACTAGTTACATGTGAGGATAGTTACTCCCATCTCAAACAGTTTGATGAGCTCGTATAAACTGGGCGACTACATGGAATATTTGTACTTTAAAAATAATAATTTTCCACTGATTTGGTCAACTAAATGAAGTTGATTGCTGTAAATGTGGACTACAACATCCATACTCCAGTAACAGTGGGTGGTCCCTTTGCTCTGTCATCTGGTCAGATTTCTTCCCCACTGATAACCTTCCTCGGTCAGAAGCACTCAGGTCAGTGACATTATTCTAACATGCTGAGTTAACCATGCTATGCTAATGACAGATACTCAAGCAAAGAAATACGTAAGCAACTCCTTCACCACAGAGGCTGTTTAGTGATGTTTTTTCCAGAATCTGCATATCAGCCATGGTTTTCAGGGACAAAAAATTTGGAAAGACTGTTGTGTTGGACGGACAAAGCCAAATATCAGCATTAAACATCAATAAAACAAGACTTTCACTTTCCACTCCTAATTTGACAGATCCTCAATTGGTTGCGCATTCGGTGCTGTTTTATTACTTCCTCAGTCTAATAACGCACCAAATAACACAACTTTTCACAGCTGTCATGAGCAACAATAATGTAACTCTCGGCCAGGTTAATCTTATCCCAAAATCAGTGGAGCAGAGCACAGACCTCAGACTCTCTGTCCCTGTGTGTGAAATGCAGCACTTCCTGTGTTTGTGTGGGGTTTCCTCCCCCTCAAGTGATTTTGGCACCTTATTGTGAGTCATGATGCACACTTCACGTTGATTTGAGGAAAAGAACAAAAATATCGCTGATGGTTTTCTGACAGCAGATGGTTGGGAATATGAAGCTGGAATAACTGGGATCTTGTGGAGCTGAAAGTGAAAGTGATTTATCAGAACTATGAGTCTGTTCTTATCAGTTGGGTTCAGGGAGCAAAACGTGATTCATGTGATGTGATTATAAAGTTTATTTTTAAATACATTTGTTTTGGGAGTGACTAAGAAATGTAGGAGTCACATGATATCAGTCAGTTTTGTTAGAAATGTATGTAAGTTGTTTTTAATAAGATACCAATTTAAGTGGTGTTTTATATACTTTCAGGAGCCTAATCGGAGTGATGGATAGCTGCTTCTGCCCTAACGTCACCCAGTCTGACGCTGAGCGTTCTTGTTGTTGCTTCTCTGTGGTCAAGAGGGCAGAGGTGGCCGGGCAGAGGGAGATTTGCGGTCAGATCGTAGGATTGATGAGCGTGTTTCTAGGGGGAACTGTGAGGAAGTCCATCTCCAGCCCACCCGTGGGCCACAGCAGCCCCACATCAAACAGACCAGCTCCACTGTGATGTATGGCGGCTGCGCTGCACTTTCAACCAGAGTCGAGAAGGTCCATCAAGGGATTTATCTCAAGGGAGGATGAAAGGAGAAGCAGAGGCGTCTGCCAAACAAAGACTCATGGGGGACAACAGTACAGGTCAGGCCTGGCCCTCAAACTGGAGAGATTTATAGTAGTCCACTTTAGCTGAAGACACATTCTGGGCAGAGATGGGTTGAGTGGATACTAAATATTGGAAAAATATTGATAATATTAAAATTTGTGTATGCAATACTTTTCCCCAGACTTTTCAATAATAAATGGGTTATTGATTTGACTAATGAAAATTGTATCACTGTATCATACACAATTTCTAAGTCCTCTTAGAAAAAAAAATTGCTGGAGAAATATCTTGTACACAATATATTACATGCTTTCTGATTGGTGCTTCATACCTTTTTAGCAAGTAAAAATCCTTTTAATATTTAACTTTTTTATATTGTTAATACGTTCATTAGATTTTTTTTTTTTACCATTTTTACTTGATTAACCATTTATAATTTCTAAGAAAATTCATGTTTAAAAAGTCAGTATCAAATATGATACTTGAGGATTTTGAGAAAAGTTCATTTGTACTCAAATATCTCTCAGTCATCACTGTATTTCATTGCATTATGTTTTCCCCCCACAATAAACTAACAAAAACTAAAGAGCTTCGATCATAAAACTTAGCATTTAAATATCATCTTACTTATAATGACTGACTTCTGATATTTATATACTTTGGCCATATAAATATCAGCAACTGCACCAAATTGTAAATTTTTGCTCAGTGTGAGACTCTGAATAATATATATATATATATATATATATATATATATCTCATAGGGAGGACCCTTAAAGACCAGCATGACAATTCGTCAAAAATTCTCTTTAAATGCCATATAATTTTTTTTAGGTTGTAAAATGTCATGTGGTGTGATTCCCTTAAAAATAAATTATATTATAATATTAGAATTAATAAATATACCTTTTTATATTAGTTTTTAATAAAAGGAAGAAATTAAGAAAATTTAATTAGAAACATTTAATATATGTACACTTTAAACATTAGGAAGATGTTAATTTTACTTGATGGTTCCACCGCAAGACATGTCATTAAATTGAAAGTTTTGACAGTGATATAAATATTTTTCAGAACTATATAAAACCCGAATACAAAAAGTACAAGTTCTAAGAACTTGAAAAATGCTTGAAAAACTTGATTTTTAAAAGATTTGGCCTTTCTTAATCATGGACACATTTTATGAAACCAAATTCACTGTTCACCTTACACTCAGCTCAAGCAGCAATATAGCATCATTAGTGATATAAACATTGCCATTGCAATGGGATCATTCAACATTTAGGAAACCTTCCCACCTTCCCCCCAATATAAGTCCCCCAAAAACACACACAATTCTGACATGTTCCTGGAATGAGTTTGAATTCCTTGAAAATTTGATTATCAGATCATTTTAAAAATTCCAACTGACCAGTTTCTCCTTAAAGGTTCATATTTTTACTACAAAAATATAGTTTAATTCAGCTTCAGAATCATTATTTGATTTTAAAATAAGGTAAAAATCATCATTATCTTATAATAAAATTATGAAAAGTGTTTGCGTAACAGCAAACAGCTTGGGCAATTTGTGGGGTAAAAAAAACTTCTGGAATTAAACTGCATAATAATATTTTTATTATATAAAATATTCATCATTTATGAGAATAAAATTAAACAATACTAAATTTCTCCATGACGTAAGTTATTAGTCTAATTTACATGTGTTACATGTGAGGCCATGACCTCTTGAAATGGTGGTAACTGAGGCACTTCATAAAGCTGTCAGATGAGAGCTGACCATATTAATCACACCATCATTCTTGCACACAACTTCAACATTAAAACAATTGAGTCATAATGGGATAGCATTTTTGAAAACGGTTTGAATTTGTATTTGTTTTCTCTTCTCTTGCGTGGAGGAAAGCAGGCCTGTGATAACATACTTTACTGTTCGGCTCAAAATGAAAACATTCATTTGTATTCATTTGAAGAGGATAAGCAAGCAGTTGTGGGGGACACTGAAGTTGGCACACATGAGCTCTGTTCCAAAACATAGTGAGGTGCCTTGTTGTCTACTGCCTACATAGGCAACTTTCTTCTTAGGCAGCATCAGTCAGGGTTTTTAAAAGGTGGCTGCAAGTGATTACTAGTTTTTTTTTGGAAAAGTTTTAAGAAAAGCTATGTAAAAGTTTCAACTAAATTAATAAAAAAATAAATAAATAAATAAAATACATTCTAAACATCCAACAGTACAGTACTACAGTGAGAAGGGAAATAAAGGTAACACTTTATTTTAAGGTGTTACACGTTACATGCACTTACTATTATAATAACAATAAATTATGCATAATTACATGCAAGTAACCCCAAGCCAAACCCGAACCATATATTAAGTACATGCAGTTAATTAATATTACTCAGTACATAAATGTATAATTACATTGTAACAAGGACACCTTAAAATAAAGTGTAACCGGAAAAAAGTACAAATAATAGTAACTAAATATTTTCAAAATAATATTTTACACATTATTATTATTATTATTATTATTATTATTAATTTATTTTACAGTATAAATTGGGTCTTCATACATGAAAACATGATATAGCTGCCTTTTAAGTCTTAGAATAGGGGTCTCTCAGACAAGAATAATCGGTAACACTTTATTTTAAAGACCAATTCTCACTAATAACTAGTAGCTTATTAGCATGCATATTACTAGCATATTGGCTGTTTGTTAGTACTTATTAGGCACATATTAATGCCTTATTCTGCATGATGATATTCTAGAGCCCTTAAGCCGACACAATACCTAAACTTAACTACTACCTTACTAACTATTAATAAGCATCAAATTAGAAGTGTATTGAGGGAAAACTCTTAGTTAATAATGAATATGTGTTCCCTAATCTAAAATGTTACGGGATAATAATTTTTGGGGGTCTGTGGCATATAAAAAAATGGCAGATTTGACGTTGTAGGCCTACATGAGTATAGTTCCACATGCTCCTTTCAAGGCAAGTACAGCACCTATTTAATTGCATGGTAAAAAAAAATAATAATAATAATAAAAGCTCAATAGCACTAAAAAACAGCATATTTCAGGTTGGTCCATCCAATGTGTGAGTGTGGAGTTTGGCATTAGCATGTTGCTAAGCTAACAGCT